TTTTTTTGAATCTGATCATTTTATTTCCATTAGATTCTCTAGTGTAGAATGGAATAGGGTGAGGCAAAAAGGAAACTAAAAGTCAATCAGTATGGACACTACTCAGTAGCTTTTGCAAAGCTGCTTAACAATTGGAAGAAATTTAAGGGACTTTTTTAAATGATCCTCAATACTTGGGTCTGCTGCTGAGAATTGTTTGCATTTATATATTTTATGTTGCAGATCAGTTAAGCAAAGTGATAGATTTTCTTAAAGTCTATGGTTTAATTTTTTTTTTCTCTACTTCAGGCTTTGAGTTATACAGGTAGTCACATGAAAGTCCACTTCCCCAGTTTAATAGAGAATGAAATCCTGAAAGAGGATGGATCAATAATTAAAAGGTTTGGGTTAGCACGAGGCAATACTTTACAAACTAACACTATTAAAAAGTTTTTCAATTAAATAACAAAAAAAGAAAAGACCCCTAAATATACCCTAAAATCTCCCAGGAACTGTTGACTCTGCTTGTACCTGGTTTTTCGCCAAGTAGTATCTCTGTTAATGTGTCATACCAAGAACATTCCCTTGATGCTTTAAAATTAATATTAAGCCACAGTACCAATGATATGCATGTTGGTATAACCTAACTCCCTGGGTTTTAGCAAGCCATCCATTTAGTTGTAGCTAACCAGCTTGGGTATACCAGGGTGGTGGTAAATTTGGAGAGAATAGGAAAAGAAATCTAATTAATTGCTTACAAGTTAATCTTATGACTACCAACATTCAACTAAATATTAGTAAATATTCAAATGGCATGACTTTTTTTAAAAAAAACAAATGGTGTTGTGACTTTGCATGTGAGTGGTGATTAGCATGAACATGATTTTGATACTCAGAAAGCTGAATGTAGCTAATGATATTGAAACCAAGGCCTTGAATATGGTAAGAAATTGTTATAAAACTATAAGCACCACATTTTTATGCATATAGCAGGGGGATGGCTGTAAGGCTGTCTGGTTTTCCCGTCTCCATAGCTGATTTGATGTACCTTTGGCACATATCCCCTTAGACTGAACCCATTTCTTATAGCGTAGTGCCTAAGGCACTTGACTGCTAATCAGAAGGCTGGCAGTTCAAACCCACCAGCCACTCCTCAGAAGGAAGATGGGGCAATCTACTTCCATAGTGGTACTGCCTTGGAAACCCAAGGAGGGGTCACTATGAGTCAGGTCCTACTCAACGGCACATAACAACAACAACAACAACAGCATTAAATATTGAGATTAATAGTGAAAAGGCACAATGGAAATCCAAGTTACTATTGTGCTTTTCACTCTATTGAAAGAAGAAAACGACTGTCATTTATAGTACTCTACAATGCTATTTTAAGCTTCCAGAACATGACAATTATCTTCTTACATATTGATTTTAATTCCAGTAAAATTAAAGTTTCTGTCACAATTCTACCCTCCAATCAAATGTGAAAACCAATAGCAGCTAGGAATTTAAAACAGAGTAATTGCTCATAGAATTTTAAAAATGGTCCATGAATTAAAGATAAAGTACTCTTTATTAATCTAAACTTTTAAGTCTTTTATCCAGTATTCATAGGAACCCAGATAAGCTCTAGCATCATGGGATCTTCACATTGGAATAGATTTTGAGACAAACTAATCTAACGTTCTCGTTTATAGCAGAGGAAATTGAAGCCAAAGAGGTACAACACTCGATACAGTTCCCACAGCTAGTTAGTGGTGGGACCTGATTTGTGGTGTCAAACACTTTATCTTATATATTGCTAAAGACATGTTGCCATACCCACTACTCCCCAGATAAATATGTTTGTAAAGTCATTCCTTTGCTTGAGTCTTATATATATTCGTAAACACACTCATATACATATGCATACACAATATACCAGGAAATATCATTTGATAGAAGTTTATCCTGATACCAACCTCATAATCTCTTCTGTTAGCTCTTAGCGAAAATAGTTAGCTATTAGTCTTTTTTTAAATAATAATAATAATAATGCATGCTGGAAGGTTATAAAAGCATAATCTTATTTCAGTCTTTGGAACCAAATCAGACTTTTTTAGCAAGAGAAACAAATTTACACTTTCAGATACAAAACAATTGATACAGTATCAAAGGAAGAGGGAGAATAAGAGAGCAGGAAAGAATAAGGAAGAAGACAACAATGTCCAAAGGAAAGTCTAAAGTATTCGGTTTGGGTTTTTATTTTTTTCCAAATCAAGGTGGTCTGAACAAATGCACTGCAGCCAAATGCCTTATCCACTGTGGCCCCAGAGCTCTTTATTGAGGTGTTAGAAAGTAGAATGCCAGTAAGGGATCTTCTAGACATTTTGTTGTTAGTTGCTGTCGAGTCTGTTTTGCCTCATGATGACCCCAGTTGTACACAATAGAACTACCCCATAGGGTTTTCAAGGCTGTGCCGTTTTTTGGAAGCAGATTTCCAAGCCTGTTTTCCAAGGCGCCTCTGGGTAAATTTGAGCCATCAACTTTCTGCTAGTTGTGGAATACATAACCATTTGCACCTCCCAGCAACTCCTCTGGATACTGTTGTTGTTGTTGTTATTTGCCGTCGAGTCAGCCCCGACTCATAGCGACTTCTCCTTGGGTTTCAGAGGCAGTATCACTACATAAGTAGATTGCCCAATCTTCTTTCCGAGGAGTGGCTGGTGGGTTTGAACCGCCAGCCTTCTGGTTAGTAGTCAAGTGCCTTAGGCACTATGCTACCAGAGCTCTGGATACTAGGAATCCCTAAAGAAAATGCTGGATGAAACTGCTAAAACTGATCATTTCCATGTTTTTGAGTGAAGACACATGGCATAGTACTCATGGATTCAGGCTCTGGAATCTTCAATTCTTGGCCCCACAGCGTACTGTTATTCTTCATTTGGGGCATTGCTTAAATTCTCTAAGATTCAGTTTCCTTATTTGTTATCTGTTAATAGTGCCTTGCTCATAAAACACATTAAACAAATATTTGTGGAATGAAGAATTGTATTTATAAGTACATAGGGAGAAGAACTGACAGTAAGGAAATGACATTAGAAATATTTTGAAGCAGGGATACAGGAAAATAATGGTATGAATAAAAGAAATATAACACTGAGTTATAACCCCTTTTCTCAAATAACCATCAGTCTGATGAGGGAAGTAAGCAACCTATTAAATGACAATATGAAATGCACAATGTACAAAGTAGGTGGGGCTGTAGTAGTCAGAGAAAGAATTTGTTACTCAGTGTTTTTTCTCTCTCTTTCCCTTCTTTTCCACCACCTCCAGAAGAAGACTCAGCAATTAAGGCAACCTTCATCTCTTGTTTGTAGTCTCCTTCTTGCATATTAATAGAATAGTGTTCCAGATCTATGTCCCATAGAAAATTTATTTAAATACAATTATTTGGAAGTTTGGGTCAGGCTATAACTCTAAGGATCAAGCTGGAAGCTAAGATGTTTAAAGTAAATTAAATGAAAGACTGTTTTTCTTTGCCTGACAAACAGGTATTTATGGAATCACTATTCCAGAATAAACAATGTTCTTTTAAATCAGTGCAACTTAATCAAAACATGAATGATTGCATTGTTACTTTGGGAAGAATTATATTACAGCATAGTTTTACTTATTTGAACTATTAATTTTTTAAAAAATACCCCTTTGCCAAAATACACTTTTTAAAATCCATGAGTCATTTCAAAACTATAAGAACCATGTTTCAAATAAAGTCATGAAAAGAAGTCTCTATTTGCTACACTAGTGGATCAATGCAGAAATATCTAGAAGCAGGACAGTAAGTACCCTTCATAGGCTGAGCAAACTTCAATATAATGGTTATCCCTGTACCTGCTATTGTTGTTGGGTGTCTTTGAATTGATTCTGACTCATAGCAACCCCAAGTGACAGAGTAGAACTGCCCCATCCAGGTTTTTAGGCTGTAATTTTTACAAGAGCACATCACCGGGGATTTCTCATATGGAGTCATTTTATGGAGTTTGGTTAGCAGTCTAACCATCAATTGTTGTGTCACCAGGGCTTTTTTCACTCCCACACTGAGTGGCTGTCTTTTAGCAGTGGAGAAAAATCCTAATTCTCCCTTTCCTGCTTTCCTCCAGGACAACAATGAGTAAAGCCAGTACCCAGAAGAGGGCTGTGGTGAAGGACCAGCATGGAAAACACATTCACTTGGAGCACCTGGAGGATGTACCAGAAGCACTAGACCAGGATGACCTCCAGCACGACCTCCAGCAACTCCTCCGGCATTTCTGCAAGGAGGACTCGAAGCAAGAGGCCAACTAATGAGCTGCCCAATTCTCACACCAGAAACCACACACTCAATATGCAACTTCTCACTTCATTAGCGGAGTGACCATAACTGGCCTCATTAATGGGATACCCTGGCATTTCCACTTTTAGCAAATACACTGCATTTTCCTTTAGTTATCCCAAATCCTTTTTACCTGTCCGCTAATTTGTGACCAAAGATAGCATCCCTTCTTCTGGATGCTGTATCCACTACTTTGCTTTGTTTGTGCTAACTTGGGAACTGGCCACCTCCATTGTTCTTTGCTTCTGCACAAGCTTCATGAAAATCCATTGGTCAGAAGAACTTCACCTGCAGACCTCTTCAAATGATGACACAGGAGTCCCTCAGAGGGATATCCATGTGAATGTATATAGTCGAAATGCTCAGATGAACAATATATTAAAATTAAAACCACTGCCTATCATAACTACACTGGGCATCATAAAAGGCCTCTAGAAATTGCTGAACAATGGTTAATTAAGATATTGCTAACACAATCGAATGATAATACAGTTCTACTGCAAAAGAAGCACTTCAAACCTACCATGTTCTTAGAACTTCCAGAGTAGCCACTGCTCCTAGTTAAAGATGGAGAACTGTCCTTACTAAGAAGTCATTGTTGGTGCTGGCCAGCCATGATTTTTGACTCTCCAACAGCCACTTGGAGGGAGGAAAGGGAGAGAGCAGAGGGCAAACAGAATGAAACAATGAGGTATTCAGTTGCTAGCAGCTACATCCTGTGGCCTTCTAGCATCTTCAGATCTTTTAGATTTGAACAAGTTGGCAGGGTATTTTAAAAATCTATGACTACTGTAGTTTTCCAGTTTTCATTGCTGCTTTTTGCAAACCACGCTGTCTTACTGGTGGTACTTTCTTCTGTCCACTGCACTGTAGATAATTCATTGGAAACAAAATTTACCCACAACACAAAAGCTTAAATGCCTTCCCCATGTTTGAGTGGTTCCTTCTTCTTCTTCTTCTTCTTTTTTTTTTTTTTTTCCCATTCCAGGTTTATATCTTCTCTAATACGTGCATGTGGCATTAAAAAATCAAAACCACAGTCAAATACCCTCTTCTAACCACAACGATTTTCATTCTTTGTACACAGATCGAGCAATTTTCACTTTTCAGCTAGGTCTGTTTTTCAGCTTGCAGACAAGATTGAGAAATCTTAAAAATTTGGTTTTGGTTAAAAATGTTGGTTTATTTATTTGAAATCCAAACTCCCTTGGGAACGCTTAAGTGCATTTTATGCACTTTTCTGTTTGTGTGTTTCAAGAAGGGAATGTAACAATCTGAGTGACTCCCATGTCCTATCCCTTACTCCTCTAGTGGTTGAAGCTGTGTAGTATTTTAACACATATATATATATATTCACAAATATATTCATATAAACAGTATACATTTTGAATCAGTTATTTGTTAAAGAAAAGTATATTCAATGAAGATGACATTTAAATAAAAAAAAATTTATCCTCCAGGGATTGAGAATTTTCCAATTCTATCTGGTCTTTTCCTGTTGCGCAAAAATGACTCAGTGCTCCAAATGTCAAAAAACAAATGTGACAAACAATGGCACTTCATCATTTAAAATAACATGGCCAAGAGAAAAAAATTCTGGAAGGGAGGTTTCCCACAAGCCAAACCTCCTAAGCCACTAATGCTAGCACTTTTGGCAGTTTGATAGGAAATAAAGCATTCTTTTGCAGCCAAAATGAGGGAGGCCCATGGTGAAACTTTTTGAGACACACCGTGGCCTTCTTGTCAAAACCTTCACTGGAGCTCAAGAAAAGCATTTCTGTTGTGTTATTTGCAGTGCAGATGATGTCTGTGTAACAACATAATGGTTATTCACCTTTTTTTTGAAATTGATTTTTGCTGTGTTATCAAAAACTTGAATACTGTGAGAAGAAGTGAATTTTCAGTTGATAAATCAGCATCTTGTTCCCATGGTGATAACACTAATTGAATATATCTATGAGGGCATGTATTAGTTAATGGAAAAAAAAAATACAACACTAACAATACATAGCTGCAATGTGTACAATGGCTGATTTAATTAAATAAAATGTACAAGTGTTAAATGTGGCAACAGTGATTTGTTCTTCTTTATCTCATCTCTGATTTCAGGAGTATAAGAAATTATTAAAGAGACCAGATAGATTTGAAGCCAACAGGAAGACATAAATTGCTTTTTTACCTTATTGTTTTTATTTAGCAGTTTTAGTGGTTGTCTATCTGGCACTGGGATGAATAGACAGACTTCTCTACAATAAGGAACTCATTACTGTTATGTAAGAGGAAACCAAGGATATTCACCTTTAGTTTTGGAGTCTCATTAGCTCCCTTGGAGTCTAGCCTCTGACTTATGGGGAGCCTGTGTGCTACGGAGCAAAATGATGGAAGGTCTCATGATCATGGTTGGGATTGGATTGTTGTGGTCCACAGGGTTTTCATTGGTTGATTTCCAGAAGTAGATTGGTGGGCCTTTCTTCCTTGTCTGTATTAGTCTGCCTGCTTTGGTGAAACCTGTTCAGCATCATAGTAACACAGCATCATAGCCTTCACTGACGTGTGTTGCGTTGGCTAGTGATCGAATCTGAGTCTCCCACATGGGAGGTGAGAATTCAACCACTCAATCACCAATGCCTCAGGTAGGAGTCCGGGAACACAGGGGAGATGAGACAAGGATAACCAGGACCTGGCAGCACAGGCAAGACCCAGAGGGCAGATCCATTTTAGTTCTCTCTTGTAGGCCGTGGCTCTCAGGAAACATCTACCTTTAGGAACAGCATGCAGTTTAGGAGTTTCATTTATCTTTTATGGCCCGAGAATTAGAAAGTGAATGAATTTGGTGATATAAATAAAGACATGGAGGGGATATACAAAAGTGACATCAGCGGTATATAGAAGGGGTTTTTTTGTTTTGTTTTGTTTTTAAATCTCTTGTGCTACTATAATATTTTTATGGTAAAAAGTTTAAAAAAAAAACAGTTTAGAAATGGAGTGAGTTTCATTTAAATCTTCTCAGTATGAGACAAAAAGTTCACTGCATCTTGTTAATCTGCCTGACTGACATATCTTCAGAAATTAAATACCAATCATGCATGAAACTTTTCAAAGAAAATTTGAAAAAAAAATTTTAAAGAAAATCGTTCCAAAGTCTGAGTCCCACTCTTCCACTTTTTAAATGTGCTGCATGTTCTATTTATAGGAATTGTGGTCCTCTTTTGCCTCATCTCTGATTAATGAGATCAAAACATTACAGAATAGTCAGGGTCTTCTCATGCTTAATTATTTGGTGCACAAGTGCCATTTTGTTGTTGTTTTAAATGAATTCAGTGGCTAATATGTCCTTTTACAGAATGATATTTAAAATGGAGGAAAATCCTCCAAACTGAGGGGAAACTATGTGCATCTCATAGATTATTTGGTTCCAAAAAACAACCAAAAACCAAACTCACTGCCATCGAATAGGTTCTGGTTAGCAGTCAAACATCTTAGGCACTATGCCAAAAATTCACTGCCATCAAGTTGATTCTGACTCATAATGACCCCTATTGGGTTGTCAATGCTGTAGATCTGTACAGAAGCAGACTGCCTCATCTTTCTTCTGTGGAGCAGCTAGCTGGTGGGTTTGAATCACCAACCTTTCAGTTAGCAGCCAAATGCCTTAACCACTAGTCATCAGAGCTCCATCTACTATTAATTGTTGTTGTTGTGTTATATGCCGTCGAGTCAGACCTGACTCATAGCGACCTCTCCTTGGATTTTCGAGGTAAATATCACTACGGACGTATATTGTCCCATTTTCCTTCCAAGGAGTGGCTGGTGGGTTTGAACCGCCAGCCTTCTGGTTAGCAGTCAAGTGCCTTAGGCACTATGCTACCAGAGCTCCTTCTACCATTAATTGTTGTTGTTGTTGTTGTGTGCCGTCGAGTCGGCCCCGACTCATAGCGACCCCTCCTTGGGTTTCAGAGGCAGTATCACTACGGAAGTAGGATTGCCCAACCTTCCTTCCGAGGAGTGGCTATCTACCCATTAATAGTATCCCTTAATTTAGTGTTAGGTACAAATTACATCTAAGTCCATTGAAACAGGTTTGAATAGAATTTGAAAATAGGTTCTTCATTGATTCATTCAATTTATGTCTGTATTGGAGGGTTTAGGTGTAGGTAAGTAGACAAGCACAAGAATAAAACAAAAATATACCAAGCAGATACTTAATGAGAACAAAACAAGCTACAAGGTTTTTGTTTTGTTTGTTTTTAAAATGATGGAGTAACGGTAACTTGCTTGCTTTCATGATTTTTTCAAACATCCCACACATGGTCTATTTTTCTTTTTAACCTCATAACTGACTAAACAATTGTATTAAAGCCATTCAGACTCACTACTAAATGTCTATTCTCAAGTGGTAACAAGTTGAGCATGGCTGCTACAGATTAAAGTGCTTGCATAGTCCTGGGTTTGATGGTAGGTGGGTTTGAGGACAATAGTTGCCTTTGTAGATTTGCAGAAGCAAATGAACCATTATGTCAGTGTGAAATACACATTATGCCTATTTTTTGTGTATGTTCATCATGACTCAGAATCCTCATCTAGGCTATCTTGTAGCATTTATGTGGCTAATGTAGCAGCAATGGTGGCAGCAACCTGTGGACAATTTGAATCTTGTATGAATTTTCAAAATAACTCACAAATATCAGATATTTTCCAGAGTCAGTCCCCAACCATACCTCTCATCCCAAAATGTCAAAAGTCAATTGAAGTAACTATTCTAACAATCCAGATCAGTGCATAGATTGACTTTAGTTCAAAAAACAAAGGACCCTATGTATTTCAAACAAGAAGGCATTTAATGCAGGGTATTAGAAAGTTACATAAACTTTGGAAGAGCCAAATAGTGAATACAGGGAGGCCACTGTTGCTTTGAAGAAATACATAAGTGCAGAAATCAGAAATCTAAGGAATCCTGCCACTGATGGGCTCAACCTCATGTAGCAACAACATGAATGATTTTGATGAGACTGTTTAAGAAACAACTGGCAAAAACTTTTCATCTGTCTTCTACCCAAGTGCAAGCACTTTTCCACAGCTATTCCTGAAGAAATACTTCTTTTCCTTCTCCTTTGCCATTTAAACTGTGGGCAACTGCTTTCCATTGTCAGAATCTAACACCAAACCCTGCTAGAAAGGACTTATACGAAATTTAATTCTGAGGTGTCTTCTGCTGCACAGAATAATAATGTAGATTAGGGCAGAAATGGTACTGAGCTGGCAACAATTCACCACAGGGGATGACACCCAAAATAAGTCCAACTATCCACTAATTCATACATTCAAGATTGACTAAACTCCAGCCATTGTGCTAAATGCTCAGAATAGATGGGGTCAAAATGATCATGTTATTGTTCTTGTTAGGTGCTGTCAAGTCAGCTCTGACTCATAGCAATTCTTTGTACAATGATACGAAACACTGCCCAGTCCTGAGCCATCCTCACAATCCTTGCTGTGAGTGAGCCCATCATTGCAGCAGCTAGAGGGACATCCATCTCACTGAAGGTCTTTCCCCTTTTTCATTGACCCTCTACTTTAGCAAGCATAAGATCCTTCTCCAGGGAATGGTCTCTTCTGACAACATGACCAAAGTTGGTGAGACGACGTCTGGTCATTCTTATTTCCAAGGAACGTTCTGGCTGCAGTTCTTCAGGACAGGTTCATGCATTTTCCTTCTAGCAGTTTATGATATTTTCAGTACTCTTCACTAACACCACAATTCAAATGCATTAATTAATTCTTCTTCAATCTTCCTTATTCATTGTCCAGTTTTCACATGCATGTGAAGCAGTTAAAAACACCATGGTGAAATTTAGGTGTACCTTAGTCTTCAAAATGACATCTTTGCTCCTTAACACTTTAAACAGTTCTTTTGCAGCAAATTTGCCCAGTACCATACCAAAAAAACCAAACTCACTGCCATTGAGTTGGATCCAACTCATAGCAATCCCCTCCTTGGGTTTCCAAGGTGGTATCACTACAGAAGTAGATTGCCCAACCTTCCTTCTGAGGAGTGGCTGGTAGGTTTGAACCACCAGCCTTCTGGTTAGCAGTCAAATGCCTTAGGCAATATGCCACCAGACCTCCTGCCCAGTATAATATGACATCTCATTTCTTGACTTGCTGCTTCCCTGGGTGTTGATTGTGGATCAAGTAAAATGAAATACCTGACAATTTCAATCTTTTCTCCATTTATCAAGTTGTTGCTCATTGGTCCAGTTGTGAGGATGTTTATTTTCTTAATGTTGGAGTGTAATTCATACTGAAGACTATAGTCTTTGATCTTCATGAGTAAGTGCTTCAAGTCATCTTCATTTTCGGTGACGAAGGTTGTGTCATCTGTATATTGCAGGTTATTAATGAGCATTCCTCCAATCGTGACACCATGTTCTTCTTTGTATAGTCCAATTTCTCAGATTATTTGCTCAGCATACAGATTAAAGAAGTTTGGTGAAAGAATACAACCCTGATGCACACCCTTCCTGATTTAAAATCATAAAGCATCTCCTTGTTCTGTTGGAATGACAGCTTCTTGATGTATGCACAGGTTCCACATGAGCACAATTAAGTGTTCCATAATTCCCATTCTTCACAATGTTATCCATAATTTTTTATGATCCCACAGTCAAATGTGTTTGCATAGTCAGTAAACATCTTCTGGTATTTTTTTTGCTTTCAGCCAAGATCCATCTGACATCTGCAATGATATTCCTCATTCCAACTCCTCTTCTGAATCCATCTTGAGTTATTGGAAGTTCCCTGTCAATATACTGCTGTGACTATTTTTTAATGATCTTCAGCAATATCTAATTTGCATGTGATATTAATAATATATTTTGATAATTTCCACATTTTGCTGCATCACCTGTCTTTGGAATGGGCATAAATAGTGATCTCTTCCAGTCAGTTGGCCAGGGATTTGTCTTCCAAATTTCTTGACATAGATGAGTAAATGCCTTCAGTGCTGCATTCATTTGTTGAAACATCTCAATGAGTATTCTGTCAATTACCAAAGCCTTGTTTTTTGCCAAT